CGCTGGAGATACTGCGTGATTCAGCTCCCTTCGTGACGTTACTGCTGGGTTTAGGGCATTCGGAGCCGTTTGTTTGTTTTTTTACTTCTTTCGGCTTTGATGTACCTGGCAAAATTTTAGGAGTAGACCTGCCTAGTGGAACCATTACTTTCTCCTTCAAGGGTCGATTTTCCGTTACTTTCTCAACTTTTAGTATTTTTACCTCATGTCGTTTCCCCTCCATTCTAATCTTCTTATTGGAGCCGACGTTCGGTGTCATACGTGACCCTAAGTGCGGCGGGTTATCTGGCATGTCGCTCATTCGGCCGTCGGTTTGAATTTTGATCGTATCCGCTCTAGATAACATTTGATCCCTCCAATACACGGTAGGGAACGTTATCATTACTGGTCTCGGCTGCCCTTGTTGCCCAGCTCGCCAAAGACTCACGCGGTGGAACTTGACGATAGGGACTGTCGCGGGCAATCCGGCCATTCTAATTATATCTCGTACGTGGCGACTATCCCCCTCTTGCCTGATTTTACGGTTGCTGACGACTGGTTCGAGGCAGTTGTGCAGCAGCAGGCGTTTGCTATCTAGCCCCCGGAGTTTGACACTCTTGATCTCTGCCTCCAGTTGCCGAACTCCTTCCTTCAGTGCTGCCAGCTCTACTGTAAGCATATCGTCAACTACCTTCCCTCTCGGCCTGTCCTTTACTTTAGTTGCGCGGGCCTTATTGGTGCAATTTTCACCTTTTCCCACACTCTTCCACGCATCATTGGTCGTTAACTTGGAGTCCACTTCCGGGGGAGTTGCTTCTCGCGCCTGGTCTATCCGTTGAAGAACAGTTCAGACGATCCCGGAGGATTCGTGAGCATTCACCTGCAAAGGCAGTGCAATGCCAACAGATCCATCTGAGGGGTTTGTGTACAATATGCAACTGCTGGTAAAAGTCAGTTGGTATAGAAGACCGGCGAAAGCTTAACAGTGATGCAGGTCCAGGGGTTATTTACGACAGAATCAGTAAGTAGGGCTAATGACCTAGATATCATCGTGACTTCCGATTTCCTTTAGGCCGAGCAGCGCACAGAAGCCGCAAAAAGAGATCTTTGGTCTCGGGGTTGATGATGTCCGCGAATTCGTACGTCTAACAACGGGTGAGGTAACAAACCAAAGCAGAACGACTGATATCACGAAACCTCAACGACTGTTGTATTGTAATGAGCTGGAGAGTAGAGAGAGAAGCGTACAGGTAAGTAAGCGTGCAGAAAGTAAAAGTCAGGGTACCGTGACCAACGAGGTAATCTTGGTCCGGTAAAAACAAAAAGGTCCGGAAGATGGAAAAGGTACATGAGCGGAAAGGGTTGACACTGTCACTACAGATCGCAGGAACTCTTCAGACTGGGGTCAGCACTGTCTTACAGAAAACCGGAGGTGTCTGTGCCCCTGTACAAAATTATAGTTAGACCTCATTGCAAGTACTATGTGCAGGCATGGTCACCGTTCTTCAAAAAGGATGCTGCCTGCTAAGAGGTAGTTCAGATGCTCGCAACGAGAATGGTTGAAGGTCAAAGAGGTATGTCGTATGATCAGAGACTTCATGACCTGGGGCTCTTTTCTCTCGAGAGGAGAAGACCCCGGGGTGACCTTCGAAATAATGAAGGAATTATCAGGCATAGGCCCGGAGAATCTGTTTCAGGAAGACCTCGATTCGGGAACAAGAGGTCACTGTAAGAAACTAAGAAAATCTCGATCAAGAATAGAAACAAGGTCACACTTCTTCGGTAATCGGGTAGCAAACCTATGGAACCGACTGCCAGAAGAGCTAATAGAACTACCTTTGGTTCAAACCTTCCAGCTAACCCTAGATCGAAGGTGGGACGATGTAGTTTCTGGGTTCAGTAGTGATTTGGCTCTCCAATTAGGGCATCTGTTGAACGCTCACGTACCTTAACGTCTGTCGTCGAGCAGATGAGATGAGTTGTCCTTTTCTTTTTTATTTAGCAGGATAACTGACGGACTGCTGGATTGGCCGTGGCCATTTCCGGTCCTGTGCAAACTGAACTGAAGTGAACTGTTGTTTGATTTTTGAGCGCAAGCTTTGTGCTTGTCGTATGTTTTGGGATTAGTGTATGTATGACCAACTTGCAGAGATTCATCTTACTTTTATTTTAACCCACCCAAAACGTTTAATGAAATCATAATTTTCTGTGTTATCTTTGCATTTTTATTAATCTTAAAAGCTCCTTTTTGCACTATTATTCCTGCAGCATTTCGGTATACTTGGGTTTATGCACCTTAACCTCTACTCGTGTCGCCACATTGCTTTGTCCCGGGAAAACCTAGGCAACAAGGTATCCTATCTTGTTCGCCGTCTTCCCATCTGAAGTTAAACGACCAATTGCTCTTACCATTTCAAGCGCAGCACTGAATAAATCTAAAGCCTTTGTTGGACATAGTCACCCGAACCTAGTAACCAACACGTCCACTTCGTCTCTATGGTATTTAAATTTTTATTTACGAGCTGTTGCGTTTAAGGCCGTAGTTGGAAAGAAAGGTATCAGTTTGCCGTCTGCGAGCAAGTCCAAAGTTCAGACGCTAGCTAAGGGGACGAAGCATGAGTTGACAGAAGACCAGAAGCAAGAAATCCGAGAGGCATTCGATTTGTTTGATACGGACAAAACGGGTACAATCGACGTGAAGGAACTTAAGGTGGCGATGCGTGCCCTAGGTTTTGAACCAAAACGAGAGGAAATAAAGAAGCTTCTAACTGAATTTGACTGCGAATCAAAAGGTACATTTGTAGTTTAGTAAAGTGCTTAGTTCTGTTTAGAATCCATTGAATTTAGTGACTTCATGAAGATGATGGCTGTTAAAATGCAGGATAAAGATGCAAAGGAAGAGATTCTCAAGGCCTTTAAGTTATTCGATGATGATGAAACTGGAAAGATATCCTTCAAAAACCTGAAACGCGTTGCAAAAGAACTGGGCGAGAATCTCACAGATGAGGAACTTCAGGTACCGCATCTTTCGATTGTCATTACATTTTCAGGAAATGATCGAAGAGGCAGATCGTGATGGGGATGGAGAAGTCAACGAGCAAGAGTTTTTGCGAATAATGAAGAAAACCAATATGTATTGATGAAGATACTGCCCAGTAGGTTGCTTTATCTGTCCACGTGGCGTCTAACTCCAAATCCGAGTGACTCCCTGGCGCTGTTCTCGGGTTGTCCGACACTCCTCTTCGGACTCTGCTTGACCTTTCACATCTCTTCCCCGTGTGCAGTGTGCATCCCAACTGTGATCCCTCCATTTCACTTCTCACCGCGCTGGTTTGCACCTCTTTGTACAGTAAATTGTTCTTTTTCTAATTCATTTTATTATTGGACCATACAGCAACCATTGTTGTACCAGTTATATGCTTCTCCTTGTCGTAGTAGTAGTAGTAGTGTAGTATGTCACTAATTACGTAGAAATTAACATGAATCAAGTTATGCTCATCAGTTTAGAAACGGAGGTTATCGGATTATGTAGGGAAGCCTTCTGTCTCACCTTGGTTTCGGTGTGCATCCAGTAGGCAGCAGGGAAATCAACCAGTCAGTTAGGGGAGCAGTTTATTTCCCCTCAAAAGTATCAATTATTCAACCTGCCTGCGCTCACGAGTATGTGAAATCAGAAAAACTGGTGAGCACAAGTGGTCCATTAACCCACCCTTTTCGAAGTGACCACATCTCGGAGGTGGTTTCAACATAAATAAAGGTTGAAAACCTAGCCGAAGTAACGGTGCCATGATATTTACGATTCCAATGCAGTTTTTACTGTAAATGTTGAAGAGGACAAGAGCGAATGCTCCAAGTAACTACTGCCTACTACTATCCCCACACGCATATATACCAAACAGGTCGATCACAGTGTGATAGCTGTAGAACATGATATGCTCGGTCTGGAATCCACACGCCACAACGTGTAGGTTGTGTAGTCCTGTAACTTCCCGGTTGCTCAGCCGAAAGGAGTTGAATGTTGGAATCGTCATTTGGAGTTTTTGACTGAAAAGTCATCAGGACGAGTCTGCTATCAGTGTCCAGGTGTCCATTTCATCGGATCATACTCCCGCTGAATAAAATGAATCAATAAAAGTTTCCTGAATCATCGAGATAGTGTAGCGAACCTCACTGATCGCTGCCAAGCTTACTATGTACACAAATCTGTTCTTTTATTCTTTTATTTTTACTTCCTTGTATTGAATATGCAATGGTACAATTTTCAGGAAGGGGGAAGCGGCCAATCAAAGGGCTGCCATTCAATACACAATGGGGAAAGTTGAGCGGTGGTGGTGGGATTCGAACATCCCCGGGGTGATAATTTAGTCAAGAGATATAAATGATAAAGCGCTTGATGGAGAGGGATTGGGCCTATTTGGAAGGAGGCAAAGAAAGTGAACCTCTATGGTCAACACAGTACACAATCTCAGTATGCATACATACCTTTTCAAGCAATCTGACCTGATAAGAAATGACAACAAGAATGCCACCGCTGTCGGCTAGTTGCCATATCCTTCAGTGTCTCCAACCAATCAGTTGCAGTCTTTTGGACCCCAACCTGGAAGACGGGAGACATCTATTCTACCTAATCGTTCTGTGCATTTCTGCAAGCCCCTTTTCCACGTCATCTGTTGACCGAGTAGTTTATTCCAACGTGGGGCCTCAACTGCGAATAAGGCGCGGTGCGGTAGACGATGGCTGGGCATACGCAATACTTGTCTTAACTAGCGAAGCCGACTAATCTGAATTTGATGGGACAACGAATTCTCCATCGAATCATTACCAGATAGACGACGCCTTACCTCAGAGTTCCTTACACGTTCGCTCCATC